TTATGTCTGAACGTACGCTCCATTTGTATACACATACACATGCAATACACCATCCAAACTCCCCCTTTAACCTCCTCTTCCCCGTCATCATCTGATGCATTATCATTATCATTACCCTCTGTCTCCATACGCTCCCCTTCCTCCTCAGAGTACGCCATCATCAAGGAGACGATCAGCTGGACGGAAAGGCGTATGCATCGCGAAGAACACTGAGGAAGTGATTACTCACCGTTGGAGACGACTTGCCTGAATGGACGGCTCGCGCCTACGTTGTGCATTCCCCCCGTCCTCTGCTGGCCTCCGGTCCACTCTGTACCGCGCTTGCACCCCGCATCCAATTCAACGCTGCCCCCCACTGGGGGGGCGAAAAGGTTCCAATACTGTTACTGCCCAGAACCCTTCCCAGGGCGCTTACCCACCAGGATGTCGCATGGAATCCGGCCGCGGCGACGAGGGCTCGTTGGGACAAACAGCGGTATCGGAATCCTTTACTCCTCTGGATCACTCTGGCAGGGTCGGGGGGCCAACGGGTGGGAATTGAAAGAAAGACGAGGAGAGGAGGAGGAAGAGAAGGAATAAGACGAAGAAAACGCGGAGGAGGAGGAGGAGGAGGATGACGAGGAGGAGGAGGAAAGGGAGAAGGAGGAGAAGGGGAGGAGGAGGAAGAAGAGGAGGAGGAACGAGGAGGAGGAGGAGGACGAGGACGAGGCGGAGGAGGAGGAGGGGGAGGAGGGGGAGGGGGAGGCGGAGGAAGAGAAACTAGAATTGCGATTGTTGGGAGCGGTACGAAAGAAAACATGGCGGCAAAAAAATGTACATTGCTGGGCTTGTACCATCAATTTGAACCGGGCTTGCGCGGGCGATCGAGCAGCTAAGGCGGACAAGAGAGACCAAAGCAAGGAAAGAGCCAAAACTGTCCGACCACAAGCACATTCTATATTCGGTAGGGAGACACCGTCGCTGTCGGTCAATACGGGCGCGCGCGAGAGCGCGAGCTCATTCATTTCACTGGTGACCTCGCTCGTGCTCTTAAGAGCAGCACTGGAGGAGCTCGCACGCACAAGTGGACACGATGTGAGCTCGCATGTGCCGCAGTGTGTGATGCGGGAGACCACAGGCCACAGACATGGCGTCTGAAAGCCTGTCCTGATACGGAGGCAAGATGATGGCCCCGGGATCACGTGGATGGCGAGGTGGAAGTGCAGTGCCTTGACCTGGTAGGTACGAGAGAAGGTGATGAATGGAGATAAACCTCGAGGGATTCGTGACCTATGCTGTCACGATCGCGTCAAGCTCCGATCACGACCACCGCAGGCGACCTCCTCGCTGGGCGCGCAGGGCTCGGCACTGCCCCTGACCAAAGGCGGATGACGTGGCTCGTCGGCTCCAGCCGCGCGCGCGACCGTAATACACCTGAGTAGCGCACTCGTTTGCTGGGCCAGTGGCTGGCCACGCGGATGGCACATCGGCTCCACCGCCTCGCGGCCAACCCTGCGGCGATTGCTGCCCCCAGGGGGGCGCAGGAGCGCTAACGGTGATCTCTCCGATCGGCGCGTCTTGCGGCGTGATCGGGGCACCGTCGGCGCCGGAGGGCGCGCCCCCATCGGGCGCTGCACGGGGCGCGCTGGCGATCTGCATGCGCGCGACCTCGCGCACGACCAGACGCCGCTTATACGTCGGGCACTGTAAGAGTGATGCTCTGGCCTAGCCGCCACGGGGCGCTTCTTCCACGGCTCACAGCTGGGCTTCGTCGCAGCCAGCGGCGGCCCAGGCGTCGGCACAGCTCCGACACGAAGGGTGGCCACACTGACGAAGAACGACACGGTCCAAGATGGCGCAGCGGTGCACACTGGGACCGCACATCTCATCGGCGTCGACTTCAACTCCAATGAGTTCTGCCTCTGCGAGTAGATCCGACGGCAGCCGCGGCGGCGCGACGGTCGGGGGGCCAGCCTCCGCCATCTCGATCATCTGTTGGGCACGCCCTCGACGGCGAGAAAGTAATAGCGCCATCTGAGCGTCGCGGTCGGCCTCCAATCTGGCAACACAGGACTGCCTGATGGAGATCTCAGGAGCCAGGTCGTGGATGAGTATGGTCCTGATGGCCGCGGCCGGCACTTCTGCTAGATGCCCATGTCCGCGGCGTCGTCTGTCTGGCAGGGCAGCTCGCGCTGGCCGCCCCAGTCATAAGCGCGAGTTGGCTAAAACCACCAACGCGAAGAATGGCGACGCGCTGACCATCAGGAGAGTTCGCCTACCAGAAGCACGTCCACACCTGCTCTGCACTGTCGGCCGTTAACGCTCATCTCGCGGGGGGGCCCATAGAGCAGCAGCCCCCCGCGTCTCGTTGCTGTAGGCTGGATCGGCGAGCTCACCCGGCAGCTGCCGCCGGCTCCGCGGCGGCGGCGGCTGCGCCAGCGAACGCGAGCATCACTGGAAGTAGGGGCGGCCCTGACGTCGGCGCTGCCCCGTTGAACACATGCGGCGGCGGCAGGGCACCGGGCGCGTCTGCGCGCGCGCGGCCGCGGGCCGCGGCGAGCGAGGCCGCTGACATCGAGCCGCGGACTGATTCTGGCATCTGCCAGGGGCCGTCGGCGAACGGCTGCACCGGCGAAGCATTGCGGCTTGGCTGCGGCCCCGGCGGACCCTCAGCGACCACGAAGGCAACTCCAGAGACGCCAGCAGGAGGGCCAGAAGCCAGGGCGCCGACTATGGTTCTGGAGTCGGTGTAAACTCCGAACTGGCCGCCGCTGCCGCTGCCCCGCGGCGACGACGCGGCGCCCCGCGGGCACTCGGCGCGGAAGCGGCAGTCGCCCCCGCAGATCCCGCGCGCCATGACGGCCCCGTCATCGCCCCGCGGATTAAAGCGTCTGCCCCCTCCTTTGCCTGACGAGCGCCCGCCTTTTTATTGCCCCCCCCCCCACCGAAGAGAACCTGATTGAACCTGTACATCCGAGAGCTCCATGAGGAACGCGTATGTCTGCAAACCCTTGCATTTGTCCCTTGCCGTACCTGGAGAAGGTGCCCTTGTTCTGCCTGACGAATATACGCACCTCACGAGTGGGGCGTTGCATGCGTCTGCGCCACTGTCGCTGAGCAAATCTTCATATGCTGGAACACCTGAGCATTTGTCCGGGCGGGGCTAAGACCTTGGAGCTCGGGCGCTCGGTAGTCAACATCTGCGCCTGGGCCCGAGCCTGCGTCGGGGGCGCCCCGCCGTCGCAGTCGGCCCCGCACGCGGGCGCCCACGCGGCTGCGGGACACGTTACACGCAGAGGCGCGGCGCACTGCGACGGGCCTGCAGCGCACGTCGAGGCACCTCCTGTTCCAGGAAGCTCGGCGGCGCTGGCAGCCCAGGGGTCGGGGCCGCGAGCGCGCCAGGAGCCACGCGCATTGCTACGGTTGCCTTGCCAGCGCCAACTAATACTCCGAACGAATGTGGCGCACGAAAAGCGCTGGCGATGTTGTTTGGGGCATGGCCCACGACGTGACCCACACGCCCAAGCATAGTCGTGAGACCGTTGAACTCGGCCTCTGTGGCTGGGCATCGGTTGCAGCATAGCTGCCGCAGCGCCATGAGTTGTCGAGCTGCGACACCTACCGCTCGGAGGAGCAGCAAGCTGTAGCCTTGCCACGACATCGCGGCTCCACCATTGTGCGTAGTTCGGGTTCACAACATGAGAAAATAGTGAACAACGTGTCGGCGGTTGCGTTGCCTCGAGAACTCCAAGAGTTCGCGGATTGCCTAGAGGCGCGACTCCTCGCCTAGAGGGACGAACTGCGCGGCGACGTTCACAATAGGATACGTCACGGCGTCCTCTGGCTGGCCGTGAACCATGCCTCCCTCCGTCATCTCCACGAAGCCAACGGCGCGCGTGAGTTCGCGAGCGGCCCCACCGAGTTTGAGGACGACGGCAGCGCATAGTCGAGCGCTGTCCATGTCGATGGCTAACACGCTCCAAGCGAGCAAAGCCTGTACCCAGTGGCGGAGGGGATACACGGACTCGCGCTCAGGTGGCCATGAAGGTGGTTGGCAAAATGTGATGGCACCGCGGCCGCCGACGCCCTGTGGGCCGGCTCCACCAGGCATCATGCCTGCGAGCCAGAACAGGACGACCACGAATAACACGAGGAAGGTTCCCCTAGAACGTCAGGATGGAGATCCTCCTCGATAGGACCTCACCACGATGATGGCTGCGCGGGCGCCCTGGGGATCAGGCCTGCGCAGGGACGAACGCCATGTCGAAGTGCGGGGCAGCCATAACGATGCCGTTGTCAACCACGGTCGAAAGCAAAGTCGGTGAAACTTGCACATGGGCTTGAAATGTTCAATCCGGTTGGTGCGATGTGCTCACCAGGACAGCCAGCACTATCGCACACCTACCGAAGCACGGCGCCAGCCCAGGAAACAGCCTCGCAGTCATGCCCGACGCGAAGCTGCGACCAATGCACGTGGGGTTGCGATGGGTCGAAAAACGTCGTGGCGCTCCTGTGCGCGATTCGCTCGTCATCGCAATTACACCTTCTGCTGTAGTCCTCGCAATCGGACCGGATGCCCGAAGCAAAGTGCCAGTTGGCTTGCAGAACAGCCATAAGCAGTGGCTACTCAAGGAATGGAGGGTGGTACCGACGCAGAGATGAACGTAAGTGCGCATGCGCGTCCACACCGCACTTTCGGCACGTTCCGCGGATCGCGAGTTGGGATCGCTCCCTGCTCCGCTGCCAACTAAAATTGCGGGGTTGGACTGTACAACAGAAAGCATCAAGCATGGCGACAACAAGATGGAGATTGCGGGGCTTTCACTCATCCTACAGTAAATAGATCTGCGTCGACGCTCGGGACAAACAGCCGCGACCCGTCCGATTTGAGTGCGGAGGAGGAGGAGGTGGAGGAGGAGGAAGAGGAGGCTGCAAAGGAGGAGGAGGAGGCGAAAAAAAGGGTGTCCCTTCGCCGCGGGCCGCTCACGGCGACGCCGCGCGGAGCGCCCCCAGGGCGGGGCCTTCTCGGAGAGGACGAGGCTGGCGAGTTGCTCCTGCCCACCCCCGCTCGAAATGAGGAGCAGGCGCCACACAACCCCAACGAGCTGGCACCACGCGATCCGAGGCAGACACGTCCGACCCACACGGGCACCGCCCGCGCGCGTGCTCGACGACGACGACGACGACGACGGCGGCGGCGGACGTCGGACGTCGGACGTCGGACGACGGACGACGGACGACGGAGGACGACGACTTCGACGCACCCATGCGTGAGTTTAGAAATTCACATACGTACGTTCACACAGACACTCGCGAATGATTACAGAACAGCGCCCAGGTGGCCCGGGCCGAGCTCAACTGCGGCCCCACGAGCCCACCTGGACGGTCACAAGACACTCCAAGGTGGCCCGAACACACCCAGAAGGCACCCAAGAGGCCCAAACAAGCTCTAATCAAACCCTCCACAAGGCCCATGAAGGTCGCAACATCCCGCTGTTATGCGCTATGCTCGTGTGGTCCATGGGATATCGAGTGCTGCATGTTCCAGTCCTCGCTACATTGGGGAGGCCAGTCGTTACATGGGACGGCATTTCGAGACCTCGGGACAAGTATGTCACACGTTACGGCGTTACTGGCCCTATGGAAAACAGCTATAAAATGTTGAGCCTACTCGAGTAACTGGAAAAGGGAACAACAGGTTGCTGTTCTCTGGAGCCTGGATACGCGCATGATTCTGCACGACACCACAGAGCATCGCAGACGGCGTGTGTCGAGGGCAACTTGAAGCTCCTTGCACATGCCTGCACACTCGGCTACCTTCAGCTGTTCATACTCCGATATCCAGCAAATGTCCCCCTGCACTGAGCTAACCCACAGTATCACTGATACCTGCTCCTGAAAGCCATCCACCCTGGCGCCGAAGCATTGTTCTCGCCGCTGATGCCCGTCAGGTGAGACAGCCTCTGGAAGGTCTTCAG